CCAATCACTGTAAGAGAACAAGAAAAACCGCTTCCTATGGAGCCGCGGTTTTCTCATCATTCCAATTCTCGTGGTCTTGTCACGAGAGATTCTCTCCTGTTGTGCCCAAAACTGAAGCTACTATGTCACCCATACGGCTCTACACGCTATAATTTTCCTCCTACTGTTCCCCAATATGTTCTTCCCCTTCCATTTCATGCATGTTCACATCATGTGTAAAAATGAGTATTTCACATGATTTAGAACATAATCACATTCCCTAACAGACTGCCTGGGAAACACAAACATGCAAATTGCTTAAAAGACATCAATATAGAATATAGCCACTTGTTTGATTAATTGAGATTAGATGGTTTACCTGGTGTTCTGTGTGGGTGTGCTTGTCCCATTGTCTCCTGCACACATAGAATCCTGTGGCAGATTTTTATATAACATAATGCGTCAAAAAAAACTCTAATCAAGCAAACAGATACAGAAATAATTAACATGGACATGTCTTTTGCAATTGAATTTAATGTAGTTGTATTATGACCTGAGAGGCTGAGAGCTGACCAGTTACCTCTTTTTAAAGCTGCAATCTCTTCTTTTTCTACCAGCCATTATTGTCCACTTTCCTTTGCAGGCCATGTTGTGTAATAACCAATAAGATCTACACTTTTGGTTAAGGGAAATGAGGGGAAAGGATATATGAAACTGGTGTGGCTACAGAGATGATTGCACAAAATGTTAAAAAATACAATTAATTAGATTAGACATATATGGCAGGGCTGGTCTGGGCAGTAAACACTGTCAGTAAAAGAGGTGAACTTGGGTTCTGTAAGGTGTACAGCCTTTGGGTGTTGTTTCTGTTTGGATTCATGGTTGCTGGTTCCCTTCCCTCAGGCATGTGCAATCAGCAGTAGAATCACATTGAAGGTGACATGGCTGGCTACCTCCCAAAAGAGACGACAACACTACTATGTTTCTTAGTCCCCAAATCCGGAGATTCACTCACTTGGGGATGACATGTTTCATTTTTCCATGCAAATTGTGAAGGATTTAAGATTTATATCTATAGTTATACATTAACCCTGAGTCAAGTGTCTAAATTTTTATTTGGTTTACCTTGATGTTATATTTTCTGCTTTAAACTCACAAATTTTGCAGAGTTTTTCATTTGTCTTAACAACTTTATTTCATGCACATACAAGTGAAAGGACAAGGAGCACCTTCTACATTCCTTCCCATAGAAGATGGGACATAATTTAGCCAAAATATACAGGAATACCACTATCCATTTATGTTATGTCTTTCCAAACTTCTATTGTAACATCATGGACCAGGAGCAATATCATTTTCAGGGAGAATCCAATTGCCATACTATATATGCCATTTGTTTGATTTTACCTACAACAATTAAAAAAATGGAAAATTTTTGGAATTTACTATAATTGATTAGTAACATTTGGAAATAAAACAAATTCTGGGTATAAATATTTTGTTCTCCCAGAAGAACGATATTGGCCCATCACCCATGACAATTCTGCCGAAAATTAATTTGTAAAAGAAGACATCTATTATTGCTGCTACAGTACAGTGCCATTCCCACATATAGTTAAAAAACACTGACCAAAGAAAGCCAACTCAGGACAATAAAAAATAAAAATAAAAAAGAGAAAGCCAATTCAGCTTCTCAAATAATTGTTTGCTATCTCACTGTGTTTGGACATCACCACTCACATGAGCATGAGTTTCCACCATGCTGTCTGTTTGTCTTTACCAGCGATAGTGGCAGTAACATAATTTTCATGAGATGATTTTTTAGGGTCTCAAAGAAAAGAAAACAAATCATAAGTTAGTGGAAAACATTTTCTCTAATACATTCCTAACCAGAGCCATTCCAATACTTTAATTTCCTCATCTCACTTTAGATGACAGAATTCAAATTTAAAATCTCTTACTTACAAAAAAAAAAAACTTTACGAAAAAACAATGGGGTTCCTTAATTAATATTGCAGCCATAGTAATCCAATAATCTATATTAGCTAATCTTGGAAGTGAAAACGCCGTATCAGAGAAGTAATTTGTTGGTTACAAAAATACAACCAGTGTGAAAGGGACTTACTTTGATTTTCCTTAGCTGGGGAGGAGTAGATTTTGAGAACCCCACCTGATGGCAAAGGAAAGCATAATGTATCAGATGTTAAGATTTAAATGTCACTAAAAGACAATCTAGTCATACATTTTCCATACCCGTCTCTGATAAAGAGTGAAGAAAGAAGAATCCAGCACATCAAGCCAAAGTTTAGGGCATTCAATTAGGGACCTAATCCAGCATACTTTTCCTTTCAAGAATATGTGAGGGAGAAGAAGGTGGGACCGGGAAGGCATTATTTTTGTAACTCTGTTTATGAATCAGCAATAACAATATTAAAGACAGTAAGAAATAAACAAAGAACCTGGGAGATTATGATGCTAACTCCATCCTATTTTCTGATTTGTGCGTCAAAGCTCCCAGGGGATGAGGAATAAAATATTAGTTGTCCGGTAATTTCAGTGAAAAGGACATGAATACAGCTTGAGAGGAAAAGAGAATAAGATTCCATTTCAGTCTTAAGGCTTTTGTTGCTCTAACACACAGCATACACCGTGACACATTACTAATAATCAAATTATAATAAAAAAAGAATCAATTTATATATGCGTATATATATGTTCCTTCAACTTATTGCAAATTTATGTCATCAAGCCTCATCTTAGGTTCATATCTCTCATTGAGGCCTTTTAGAGAGAGAGAGAGAGAGAGAGAGAGAGAGAGAGAGTTAGATGGAGCTCACACAACATGGCTTCTTGGAGGAATTGCCAGCTCCGAGACGAGACAGTTGGACAACTTTTACCGCTGGAGTGACTGAGTTCCTCCCTAATGGATGGAATTTCGATTCTTTTGATGAAAACCCAACTTTGGCTACACCAAATCCTTCATTTTTAGGATTCTCAATGTCAGCAGAACTTGGCTTTGAATGTCCTCCTAGTGATCAGCCCTACCCTCTTATTGATGGAGTTACAGTGCCAGAAATGGATTCATCGTACGTCCAAAATGACACTCTATTTCCAGCTCAAGAAGACTACCCATCAATGGTGGATGATGAAGAGCTCGGTCTTCTCTACAGTGATCATCATCACAGCTTGGAAGAGAGAAATGATAGCTGCAAAGCTGAGGTGGAACATACCAGCAACATTCAAGTTTTTAGCATGGGTTTTTGTGGAGAGATAAAGACCAAGGGAAAGAGATTACCAGGACAACCCTCGAAGAATCTCATGGCAGAAAGGAGGAGAAGGAAGCGACTAAATGATCGCCTCTCAATGCTCAGGTCAATAGTACCTAAAATCAGCAAGGTGATTCTTTTTTCTCCACTTGTTAAAAAACATCCATTTTAACTTAAATAGAAAATTCTGGCAAAAAAAAACCCTAATAGAAGAACTATGGTGGTTGCATCTCACCTTATTATGCATCCTGAAATGCAAGTGTTTGATATATATGGAAGTTTCAAGAGGTTTGAAATTTATGTAAGTACAACAATATTAGCAGATGGACAGAACATCTATACTTGGAGATACCATAGATTACATGAAGGAACTTCTTGAAAGGATCAATAAACTGCAAGAGGAAGGGACAGAACTGGGTTCAGATCAAATGAACTTGGGTAGCTTGAGGAAGGAGATAAAGCCAAATGAAGTAATGGTCAGAAACTCCCCCAAGGTGAGGTTTTCTGCTCTAATTACATTTTAGCCACTAAATCCATAATTTCTGTGCTCAACTTTCATTTGCCACAATGAAAAACCAGTTTGATGTGGAAAGGAAAGAAATGGATACCACAGTTGAGATATGCTGTGCAGCGAAGCCAGGATTGTTACTATCAACAGTGAGCACGCTGGAAGCACTAGGCCTTGAGATTCAACAGTGTGTAATTAGTTGCTTCAGTGATTTCTCAATGCAAGCCTCTTGTTCAGAAGTAAGTCTGTCAATGTTAAGATTTTCGAGTTAGATTGAATAGATGTTTCAACTCACCAATTTTTTCTTTAATGGGTCCTTCTTCTAATGTTTTTTTATTCCTGGTCTTTCTCCTAATGGTTTAAGGTTGCTGAGCAGAGGACATTGACAAGTTCTGAAGACATAAAGCAAGCATTATTCAGAAGTGCTGGCTATGGAGGAAGATGTCTTTAAAAAAATGGGTGGTAAAAAAAACCAACAAAGTCTGAAGAGATGGATGTTCCTAAATCTATTCTTCAATGAACTGTCCGAAGCAAGCTGGTAGTAACTTTTTATTTCTAATAAGCATTGTTCATTCATCAGAACAATCTGACACCCTTATTATGGATTGATGTTATGCAACATCTTATGGTGTAACTGTGTATTTAGTTCCTCATCTATTATGCATGATTGCACATGGACTTAATATATAATAAGAATAAGAATGTTTTGGAGCATACAGGAAGGATTTGGAAAATCATCATACTTCCTTTCCATAAACTTCAATAAACAATTATTTCATGTTTTTTTGCTGTATCACACATAAAGAACCCAATAATTGAAATTTAGGCATGGAATAAGACATACTAACATACTTTCCCTAAGTCTCAAAGTATATCTAATATTATATAATAATAAAATAAGACTCATTCAATAATTACTAATCTGGAAAGCAAATAATATCACGTCAATCAGGAGATATATATCAGACATGATGTTATTGAATAAAAATTTAGCGAATCTGATAATTACATGTTGAATGGAACCTGGGGATTGTGTAGCAGAGTAATCTATTTCCATTGCAAGTCCAGAGCCGGTGCCAAACTACCAATTCATCAATTCTGACATAAATTCTCTGTCCTTGTCCTCCTTTTCCATCTCTCCCTGTCATCCATGAGGTAGGTAGGGGTTAAACTGGGAAGAGGCTAAGCAAAATTGAAAGTGTTCTGCTCAAATTTTACAGTGTGACAGGAAGAGTAACATGGTGATAGAGAGGAAAAGGACTAAAGACCGACAAAGAGAGAGTAAAAAGAAGGAGAGTGAGGGCAACTTACAGTAGACGGGTGACTTATTGCTTACAGTAAAAATTCGTGCCCAAAAGTATTTATTCTTTGGAAGTTTTTATTCTGGTAACAATTATGATAACTGTAGCTTCAAATTCAAGAAGTCTACCACGCTGGAGATGAAATAGATCTTCTCAGCAATATCTACAACACAAACAACAAGTGGGATCAGTGGCAGACATGGACACTCTTAAAGGTAGACGAACTGTAGTTTCTGAGTGGAAGTCATGTGTAAAGAGAATCTGATGATGGTGGAAGGCTGCCATTTAAGTTACATATTGCTCTGGCATGGTAAAGCAGATCCGTAAAAGCAATTTCAACACACAGAAACTCTTGTTGCTGAAACAGAAAAATCAAGGTACAAGTTTCATTTGTTTTGACTTGTTTTGAATATGCACAAGGATTCTTATTGACATGTTTTCAACTCTTTTAACAACATAAACATATTGTTTTGCAGAAAAAAGAGGGACATTTGAAGCAAATTTTTCAGATTTGTTACAAGGATGATTTTATATATCTATATATATATATTAGAAAAGAAAGTATCTTTGAATAAGCAAAACCTTGATAGGAGGATATCCGTATGCTAAGAAGAGATTTTGAGAAAAACAATCAATTGGATCTTGATGCATCGTCAAAAGGGTTTTTGCTGGGCTGATAATGCATAAGGAACTGCTATTTATACAATTAACATGTACTTTCTTAAAGATGCTACAAAATGTTGAAGTAGAGACGCATGAGAATTACCTGGTAGGGATTGATACCGCTGCCATCCAAAATCCATGTCTTCTGCAACCTTATGTTCTTTAAGGTTCCATCCTCCAGTACAAATACATGCTACTTGCAGATGCAGGAAAAAACCAAGATTTTTCCTTCGCTTACACTTTTAGCAAACAAGTAGAAGAAAAAAAAGCATTGCAATCTCTAGAGGTAATTTACCAAAGGAGGTCATTATAAAAAATTTTGGTCTAAACTTTGCAAATTTGGATTCATTCTAATATACAGGATCTGAAGTCAGCAGTTCTATACAGCAGTCAGCAGCTACACCCAAGATACTAGGAGACAAAAACAGATTCAATTAAACAAGTTTTTTAAACCTCAATTTCACCTTCTTCATCATCACCACTGGCACCATCATTATCATCCAAATCTGAAGAGTCACCATGAGTATTTGTTTGCAAATGTTGAAGCTGATCAATAACATCTCACATCTCCTGCATCAAAAACTGCAGCATTTGTTGCTGCTCTAACCACGTCAATATTCTGAATAAGAACTGGTCTACCATTTTCTTTTGCAGAAAATGAATTTTTGGTTTGTACAGAAACCGCTTTCCTTTTAGCTTCCCTGGAATGCAATCGATCAATGTACTTCTCATGTAAGGCCTTGTTTTAAACTGGCTTTAATACCAATGGGCTAACAAGAGCAGTTGTACACGAACTACAAAATCTTGGAAGAGTCTTCTTAGAGCCAGCAAAAGACATCTCCTGACACTTATGAAGAAATCCCTCCTTTTCCTCTAAATTCTTTGGGGTAGAAAGAATAGATTCTGGCAGAACATGAGTAGATGGATTTATATTGGGCTCCAGGATTGGAAACAAATCTGCTTCATTCTCTTGGTTCACAAGATGATGCCTTCACAACAATTGTCTTGCAGTTTTCCGCACAACATGGCTTTTCTGCTTGTTGCATCTGGACCTTTTATTCTTTGGCTCAGTGGATTCTAGCAATTTGCTTGCAAAGAGTGAAAACTGCTGAATGAGGGAGGAGTTTACTCTGATTGCCTTTGATCGAGGCTGAGGCTGAGGTGGGATTATGAGATCTGAGTGGATTTTATCAAAGCAATCCTGTGCAGACTTGCCTGGCACCTGTAATTGATTTTACACAACAATTATAAACTAATGATTACATCAATTAGATGAAAAAAGGGTAAAAACTACCACAGCATGATCAAAGGAAACAAGTCAATACTTACATTTTAAGAATCAATGTAAGACTGCATGTCAAGCCAAAAAGTTCGTAAGAATCAATGTAAGACTGTATGTTAAGCCAGAAAGAATCATGAGCTATTTTTGAGTATGAAATTGTGGGCTTATAAATATTTATATACATACGAACATGGAAAATTATGAATGAAGTCCACAACATTTAGAAACAACTACCAGGGTAATTTTTCTATCTAGTTTTTTGAAAAATTTAATAATGTAAAACTCAAAACCAACTTTCTTCCTATAGGTTAGTTGTCTTTGAAGCCAAAGCAAACATTTATCTCCACAATAGGCAGAACCATATAAATTTATTAATTGTTCAACCAACCAATAAAATTTGAATCTTTTGTTTTTGTGCATCAACCATGTTTAGTTGTTAACTCACTCTAAGCACATTGAAAGGGAAAAGCACAACTAACATTATTTCAGTCAGCCAAAATTATTGTTTTGCTAAAATGAATAAACTGTAAAGAAGTCTAAGATAAGACAACTTCAGGATCATAAGAAAGTCATTCAAAGTAATGGCTCAGCCCAATTCTCTAAGTTTTCGCAATGATCTTGTTACATTTTTTTTCGAGTTTGTAAGTCTCTTTTATGCAATCCAAAGATCCAGTAATCAAATGATTTACTATTGCTTTTCTTTTCTTTAATTTAAACAGATATTTGAGTTTTGCACTTATGCATAGTTTTGAAAATTAATTAATCATAGTTTACAAAATTAATTAATCATAGTTACGTCCAGTTAGCCTAAGAAACAAATCACGGGGTGAAGGTCAATACAACAAGAATTGTGTTCATTCCAAATTATGATTTCCTCTACTCGCCAAGCAGAAAATGCGTTAAAAATGGTTCATGCCAATGAAATAACAAAATTGAAAGACTCAGATATTAGGTGAAGCAAAATACCAGCTTGGAAACCTTCTTCCAGAAATGGGGTGAAGGCTTGGCAGCAAAATAGGCCCTTTGCAGCGCCACTTCTTGCTCCTTTGTCCACCCTTGAACAACCCCAATAGCATCATCGCTACACTTTCTCTTCAAATTAGTCTCAATCTTTTCATTGCCTTGACAAGCAATTTTCCCCTGCCTCCTTTTCTCCGCATTTTGGTTACTTAAACACGCACCCTCATCAACATTTCCCCCATTAACCTCCTTATTGATGGACTCATTCACAGAATCAACAACACTACTCCTTCCCTTATTTCTACCTGAATTACGACCACCTTTTCCTGTCCAAATTTCATTTGGAGTGCCAATACAGCTTCTTCTCGTTCTCTTGCTTTTCACCCCAATTTTCTCACTGGAATTAACACACAATTCATCTTTCTCACCATCTGAAAAACCCACGAATCTCTACACTTATTCCTCCTATATTCCTGAACAACATTGTCGCCTTCAAGCTTGTTAAGAAAACTAGGCGACCGCCTAAGACTAGAAAACCCATCACTGCCATCGTTCAATCTTGCAGATTTTCTCGACCTCATTTGATTGCTAGAATCCAACAAATCATTACTCAATTTTCTCGATTTCTTGGCAACTTTATCCGAACAAGCTTCTTGCGATCTTTCCACCGTATTGATTCCTGTGGATGTTGAACCTCGAGGAAGAGACACAGAGCGTGCCCGACCATCCCCAGATTTGGACTTGGAGGTGTTCAATTCCTGTGACTTTTCACAGTTACTTAGTTGAAGAAGCCTTGGGGATCTGCGGAGAGGAGTGTGCTGCTGTGGATTGCCGGTAGAGTTTCTCGCCGGCATTTTGTCGAACGGCTGATGGGCGCTTCCTTTGTTCCTCTTTTGGGAGGGAAAATGGGTTCGGTTCTGCGTCAGCGATTCAAATATAGGATCCGCATGAGGTTACGAAAGTGGGCCTCGCACGTGCGGCATTTCACATGTGCGAAATAACCTGGATCATTTAGACCAGGTATGTATCTTCTCTAGGCCAAGGCCCAAAAATCATTTTAGGACAACGCCCAACAACATGGATAGTAAGAGATGCAATCATTATATATTTTTATCA